GAGCAGGGACAAGGATGTGAGGAGACGTCGCCGCCACCTTGGGGGCATGGGACGCAGAGACGGAGGGAGCAGGGGTGAGAGGGGGAGGAGGGGAGGAGGTGGTGGGTGTTAGCGTGGGCGCTGGGGAGTCCAGGAGCATGGGGTTGGGGGTGAGCCGAGGAGGGGTGGGAGTGGTGGGGGAGGTCTGAGGACTGGTTCCATTGGTGGCGTCTCCGTGGTCGGACTGGGTCGGTCGAAGCAGCTCCCTGTCCATCCTTCAACACTGAGAGAGAGAGAGAGACAGAGAGAGAGAGAGAGAGAGAGAGAGAGAGAGAGAGAGACATTAACACATTCATTACCTCCACTAAGAAGGTTCTTGTTTCCTGTTTGTTAATTAGCAGGATTAAGCAGAAACCACTTGACGGATCTCCTGAAACTTGGTGGAAGGACGTGGTTTCATCCTGGATTTGATCGTTTTATATCTTTAACATTATGAGATATTTTATATTTTCAGATTTCTCAGAGAACAATCCTGATGAAAACAGAACTGATGAGTGATCGTGATAATTCAACGGTTCGTTATTAACTGGTTACTCATCTTGTGACTGTGTTTTAAAGGTTCTACATGAAGTTTATAGTTAATATTAAGCTGTTAAAATAAAAAATGAAGGTCAGAACTCGGCTAAAAGTCCCAGTTCCTGAGAAAACACCTGAAATCAAACACTGTTGTTGCTTCATGAATTCAGCTGCAGCACCAACACCTCCTCCACCTGCAGCGTCAGGAGCAGCAGCAGCAGCAGCAGCAGCAGCAGGAGGAGGAGGAGGAGGTGGTGCCGGAGTGAGGGGCCTGAAACTCGGCTACATCACCGCGCGAGCAGGTGCCACATCTGCTCACATCTGGCCTGTGACGTGCACGCGCCAGCCTCACTTTACTCCCACAGACGGTGATAAGTCAGAAAAGAAGATGGAGAGCGGCCTGCACGGCACAACCATCACAACATGTTGGACAATGTGTCCACGTTGTGCGTAAAGCTCCGTGCGCCTCCCCCGACCTCCTACCTCTCGATTCGGCGTCGTCCAGCAGGTTATTCCCGGCGGCGCATGTTCGTGATGAAGGCTGATGAAGATAAAGCTCCGAGTGTCCGAGCACGCTGAAATGGGCGTGTGCGTGTGTGCGTGAAGCTCCACTTCCTCGTCTGACAGCTCGGGAGCTGCTGCTGCCGGGTGCGCGCCCCCTCCTCAGACAATAATGTCAGCAGCCTCACCTCTGATTATCCGCCGGGAGCCCCCGCACGCACACGCACGCAAAGTTGCACGGCAAGACAGGCCCGTGTGTGATGTGCATGAGCGTGTGTGTGTGTGTGTCGCACTTTGCTCGGTGCTTCATCCGCAGTCAGGGCCTCTCCTCCCCGCGGGGCAGCCCGTCAATCCAGCCTCCATGAGCGGGGTAGTTCGGTCCGGTGGTTCCGCCGCCGTCGCACCTGCCGGGGTCTGCGGTGGGAATCAGCCCGGCTCGCGGCCACAGTGCAGCGGCTGCCAGGGGCCTGGTCGGTCCGCTGCTGGAGGAGAGCAATGGAAGGCGGCTGTTAGAGGGCGACAGAGGAGAGACAGCTCCACTCAGAGCTCAGGAGGACTCTGACCATACAGCGTGCACACAGCGTGCACACTGTACACACAGTACACACACACAGTACACACACACTGTACACACACACACTGTACACACACACACACACACACACACACACACACACACACACACACACACACAGACACACACACACACACAGCGTGCACACTGTACACACAACACACTGTGATACTGTTCAGGAACCAAGTAAACACAACTATAATCATAACAATAATTTCCTGCTCGAGGATACAAACTGAAAATCATTCAAATAAAAACTCATTTACAGAATATGATATTATTTCATCACTGAGCTGTATTTCTCTCTGTCAGCTCCTCGTCACTATAAATATATAAAATCTCTTTATGAAACCACATTTAATGTCACTATAAATTCAGATTTTCATTAGGATCAGAACCAAATCACCCATTGATATCAGTCAGAGTAAAAAAGTAGGATACCTCTTAAATGCAGTATAAGTATGAAGATGCATAAAATAGAAATACTTAATTAAAGTACCTGCGAGTTGTTGATAAGCACAGCACTTGAG